AGCCTGATTATGGGGGGAAATATTCAATCTCGTTCTCCTTATATTGTCTTCACGCAACTCTGGTATTCAATCAGTAATTGGAGGATCAAACCACAGGAGGGGCACGCACTTGTTGAGATTTCTGTTGTCGATAAGAGCAATCGTACTTACTATATATCCATTTATGGTAAATATTGGATGGATAAAACACCTGTCATAAAAAAATATAATATACAAGATTTAAATGTATTCACATTTGAAATTGTTTGCCTTTTTAAAATAAAAATCCCCTAAATGTTACGATAAGCATATTAAGTGTAAAAAGTTCATGTTTATCATGAAATAAGCTGTACTTAAGATATTCGTGTAAATATAAATAGGAAAAAAATGTATTCAATAATCTAAAGACATGCTGGAGGGTGGAGACTGTACTCTTAGGAGAAAAACAAACAAATTTTGCTTACATATAAAATAGATGGAAAACAAATAAATACATGAACTATACTGACTATAGAAAATGTTGAATGATAATTCCTCTTGGCGGTTCACTTCAAGGCTGATCTGTATGGCTGGTAGCGAGGTGAAGGCCTGGTGCACAATGCACATCGATACATTTTTTCCCTAATGGTATTTTTGTTCCCACTCGGCGTGGGAGTCTGGCTCAGCGATTATATTGATCGGATAACATAATTAAAATAAAAGTATAAATAAAAGTCTGGGAACTATATTACTGTGGCTCAGGAATCCTAATACAGTGGCTGAGTAACTCGGTCATTTCTGTTTTGATGTCATTCAAAACTAGTTATCAAACTTTAAAAGCAAGATTATTAAATTTTAAAGGTCATGCACATCATTCTATAGGCTTACAAACAGATATGATGTAACATTTAATATATATGTTACATTTTTTTTCTGGTTATGGAACATACAGGTTCAAAATATATATTGAATTACTTCAATTATGCATTAATTGCAAAGCATTGGTCATTTATATAAAGATTCATTAAAAAAAAAAATATCACGCCCCGCGAGTCAGTTTCTCGATTTTTGCATCTTTTATAAATCTGTGATAAAAATACAAATTTCAATTAATCATTCAATCAATGCTGACGAGTAAAAAATCGAAAAAAATATTTTGGTGGTAAAACTCGGAGCTTATAAAATATACATGATGTCGATATGCGTTTCTTTTGAGATTTAGTGCATTTCATACGTCACACACTCACCAATACTGCAAACATATATATATATATATATATATATATATATATATATATATATATATATATATATATATATGAAAATGAGTCTTGATCATCGAACCGCTTCGATATGCATATGTGTGAAAAGGCATGCGTCTAATTGATGGAGACGATAGTCGCGAATATTTTGAGAATTTGTAGTCGGATAAAAATCAATCAAAAACTTGATCAATTCCTCAAGTAAATGTTGGCTGCATAAAATATAAATTGAAGAGACACACGCATCATCTTTATTTAAAAATGTATTAATATTCAATTTTAGAATATAAAACACGAACTGTGAAGAGAACGTTTTTATCCGAGAAGTAAAATGCGATGTTCTAAAAAAAGGGACCTGTCGTTTTTTCTATAGTAAATGATAAGCAACTTTATATATTAAATAGGAAAAACGTATTTTTTTACAGATTCACTTTATAAAATATATATTATGTATCTCGAATTTATACACGCATTCCGATTTCTTTTCAATGTTAAGAAAACCTTTCATTTAAATAACTACTCACACACCCCATACACCAACACTTAAACTTATATCAAGTGCTGCAATAACGTCATACATCAAATGGATTTACAACTTCAAAAGAAATTTCTACAGGTATCTGGCGTAAGAGGGAATCTGTTGGGTATGTCTGAGAAGTACTAATTAAAACCATGGCCAGAAATGACAAGAAATATATATCAGTATTACAGTTAGACGGGGTGTTCCATATACCACTCTCTTAACATGCTAAGTCTTACTGGAGTATTTTGATAGCAAACTTATTGCATTTCATTATGCATGGGGTATGGGGTTTGATGATTTTATTATCTACAAGGACAGAGTTTTTCAATATTCATTTTATTAAAAACATGTATGATCTTCACTTAAACTGCATTGTGTGTTTTGTTAGTCCATGTAAAAAAAATTGATTTTTTATGAGTAAATATAATACTTCTTTTCCACATGGTTGGTTTTTTGGATTAGGCCTACTTCATGTGTGCGTTACCGAGCTAGGTCGCGTGTAATGAAAATGATTTCCGCTTTTCTCATATTTCCGCTCACACCCGGAAATCAGTGATACTAACTGGGGCGAACTCATTAAACATATATAATGGAAATGGAATTTGGAATTTTTTTCTGTTTAAAGGTAAACAAAAACAAATACTTTTATGTATAATTAGTTTCAAAGATACATCATAACTTTGTTTAAAGGTAATTTAACTGTTTTTTAATTAGCTGCAATAAAATATATCAAAGCTTTTGCATATCCATGAAAATTATGTTAAAGTTTTACAGGGTAATGAACAAAGACGTGCCTTCATCAAGTTCAAACATTTAGACATTTCACACAAAAATATTCATGTGTATTAAAAAGTTTTAAAAGTTAAATAAAATATAGCTAGAAATTAACAGTAAAATATTTATCACACGAGGTTTAAGATTTAACTGTTTCTTAATTAGCTGCAATTCCAACATACATTAATGATGTTCCCTGCATTTGTGTTAGTAACCTTTATTTATAGAATATGACGCAGACAGGGATACCTGATGAAAACCTTTCGCACCTTTTGAATTGCTTTGTAAAATATTAGTCAAAGGAGCCAGAAAAAATATTTAACAATTTAATATTTTGATAAAAACATTCGATTTACTATTTCTTAAGGTGTTTGAATGGATTTTGTTTTCTCAACAGCGGCTGGGCGTACGTACTATATTTTAACTCGTAAACTCAGTTTGGCGGTGAAGAAGCAGCATTTCCTGTTGCTCACCGTCGCAATAGCCGGGCATTGCTCTACGAGCAATGAGCCCGGCTAACAAAGTAAGCAAAAAACCCATGCCATTTTCTCAAATATGACACTTTCCATGAAAATGCAAAGTCTTCGTAGATGAGTTGGAATGGCCGTTAATAATTCAAAAGTGCAAAAAAAAAAATATGTGAATGAAATTGCTTTAATTAGATACAAAAGATTTGCTGTTAATATTAAATCTCTAAACCTTACTAAGAAGTCAATAATAACGATGATTGATTCGAAGACAATGGGTAATCATTTACATGTGAATCATTTCGTTATATATGCAATTGACTGTCTTTGTGGGTTGACGTAAGAGCTTCATTCATGTAGCCCTGTCATGCCCGACACTTTATCAGGTGAACAGGATGACCTGCCGCGTGCTAGTCAGGCAATGGTTACAGGTTGTTTACATCTCGTTATTGTCCCGTTACTATCGCCAGATGCGAGAACTCAGACCAGGCACCCGTTCTCCGTACTGGTCTGGTATATTGCCAACTTATGACAAAGTGCAGGGGTATACTTGGTACGACAAAAGGTAAAAAGTAGATCGGATGTAAACAAAGTGATTCATGACCTGATCCAGTACATACCAGGTATATACAAACATTGAACCTCCCTGAGAAATGGAATCGATGTCCGTGGTCAGTCCAATAGGTATTAGGCTACTAACCCATGAAGCATTGTGGAGACATTATAATATATATTGATACTTTGTTAGAATTCTCATGTTTTTATGACTGTCATTTCACAATGCACGTAGTTTTAATTAATCAGTAATGAGACATATTACCCCAGAAGCTGCCAATATTTATAGAATAGGGTAGAATGGAACAGAACGGACTGGAAGAAAATAGAACAAAACAGTAGGGTTGCCAGTCAAGTCTGTTTAGATAAATACATTATTATGATGAACAATAAAAATAAACAGCACATTCTCATGAACAATAACAATAAACAGCGAATATATGCAACGTATAATGCCAATGACCTTTATCGCTGTATTGGCTTCAAGATTCCAGAATCTGCATAATTATCCAAAGACATGGCCCCATTTCTTTGTCTCCTTGATCCTGAATTTCCATAAGGATCAGCGCCCTGTGATGCTGAGTCTGGACTCCTTTCCGTTGCAGACAACTATAATACCTATCTAGCCCTCAGTACAACCAATATATGCAAATTGATTCGTCAGTTTCTGTGTTACATTAATAAATAAAATACATAACCCCAAAAGATTATCAATATTCAGTTCGTGGCAATGAGAGATACCTTTTGAATCATCGAGTGACACATTTAAAACAATGCCGCTGTATATTCTTTACTTCTTCTTCTACTGATTTGACCTCGGCAGGTGTCCCAGAGGTTAATCATACCAAATCAAGGCTATCCATCATTGTTCTTACAATCGTTCATTCAGAATTAATTTATTTTCCAATACACAGGGCGTTGGTTTGGTGCAAACTTAATAATACACCTTTAGCCTTACTTAAAGTCTTTTTTATGCATATAACAAATTGTATGGTTTTCTCCAATTTGGATTTAAAAAAACAATTATTAAAGAATAAAATTTAAATTCTATATGAAACAAGCAATATTCAAGGAAAAAGACTTCGCTGATTCTTTCATTTGGGGTCAAAACCCTCAAAGTTTTCTTCGAATGTAATATGCTTACATGATGAATTACGAAAAGTCGAAGTCCGACAGAATTTGAGAAATGAACATAAATTGCTGTGGCCTACATGGAGAGCAGTGACTTGTGGGTTACTGGAACACTTCGAAATCTTTTGAGTTTTCTTTATGACAATTTTTCTTCATAGATTAAGTCAATAACCTGTCCGCTTCCAGGTTCATTTACTCCGATGGGCATTTTCTTCGCTAGGGATCAATTCAGGTCAACAACCACTATGTAGGACGAAGACTCTACTAATCATAAAGCGTAGAATCCGTTAGCTCCTCCCACTTCTCGCCGACGGTATATAAGCCGAGACTGCCTTTGTACGTAACACATGTTAAAGCGAAACTCAATCGTTCAGACTACACTGTATATTCTGTGGATTATTACACAACAATAAAAGGATTAAATAATCATGACTGTTACGGATTTACTTGCTTCAAAAATGGCCCATGAGGACAGGTAAGCATCCATTATATTTTGCACAATTTACTTTGTTTTCTGGAAATCTGAGTTTTTCATTTTTTAGGGAAGTTTGGATTGTCACTTATGTTCTCTTTGTTCACCTTGCAGATTCTACATGGCCAAAATTGGTGATGCCGTGAAAGACGTTGTCAGCATGGCTGCTTTGAACGAGAGACTGGTTCTGGGTGCGATGCCCAGTGCCGAGTTTCTGGGAGAGGAGGCAGACAGCGTGGCCCTTTGTCTTTTGCTGGAGAATAAATCGGACGATGTCCTCATTAACATCCAGCACAAACTGGTGGAGGCCTACTGTTGGGAAAATGACATCCCCCTTCTGAAGGTGGACAGTGAAGATAAAGTCCGAAAGATCCTGGCATCAGAGGGCGATCAGAACAATAACGAACCCACTGACCTGTCTTGCATACTAGTTAAGGTACGCCTGGTATTTAAATCTCACATGTTTCAACATACCGATCCCTCCCATTGAAATTCTTTATCTGAAGTACAGACATAGTTACATGAACTAATATTTGTCTATTGTCTTTTACAGAATGCAGACAAATTGTCATCATCTGAATCCATGCTGGCTGACTTCTTTGATTACATCATTAAGAACGAGATTGAACCATTCCCTGTGATAACCTTACCGGAGTGACGTAGTGCAGTGAGCAGTACCGCGTGATGCTCAGCAGCCCACTGAGTAATTGAACTCATCTCACTGCACGTGAACCCTGCTTCTGGCAGCGACGTCTGCACGGATCGAAATCAGGTCGATCCTTACAGCCGATAGACTCGCGCCAAAAAGCACGTGTTCCTATGACAGGGACTCCGTGCACATGGTACACATGTGCTTCTCCCGACATGTCTACAGGACATACATGGCCACACATGGTGTACATGTCCATCATAGACAAATGTATTGTTTTTGTGATACTTTGTAAAGACTTGATGGATTTTATTTTACATTTGCATAATGACTATGCATCTAAGAAACTGATTCAATGCAGTAAGCACTGCTTCGGATGTTGGAAATTATTGTGAATGAATTTGTTGAGAAATTAATAAATATAGAAAAATTATGAAATTTGTTGGTTTTAATGGTTAATTTTTTATCATGTCATTGTGGAAGTTAAATGCAGAATTTATTAAATGGCATTAAAATGTCATATATGTTGATAATGAGAAGGGTTGTATTCACAATGGTTATGAAACTAAAATTCCGGAAGAACAGAATTATGAGAATTCAAGCATCATTGATTGTATGCTAAAAGTAGCGATGTTTAAAATATATTTGACCTCACTTTAGGTCTAGGTATTCAAATAGCACATCTATAGGCGCCTGTTAGAATCCGTTAGGAATAGGGCCGGAGTCTGTATGCCAAACACCGGCAGTTAAATAGTCTAAATAGTCTTTCGAGAGACTTTATATTACCTTCATGTCATATTAGAGCAAATACCAGCATTTGTCTAAGTGATTATGATAATTACCTGAATACTATTACCTACAACGATTTGCACCAAAAGCCACTGAATCACCTTGATCATACTTTTTCCTTTAGCTATACTAGTATAATACAGCTCTGTCAGTCATCTGACAAACATGAGACGCATCCTAGTGTTGCCTCATGAGAACAAACATCCCACATATACTTGAATGAACAATTGAACATGAAGGAATTTGATACTTTATAGCGATTAGAGAGCCGAGACATAACGGTAAGCTTTTCTTCCTTCTTTGCTTGAAGGATTACTGCACCGTGACACAAGTTCCGGAGTTCGAGGTCATATAGTGTTAAAGCAGTTTCAATTTTGTTAGGATGTACTTCAGGGTAGCGATTGTATTGTACATGTATAGCCATCTCAAAGGTCAGCTAGGTAAGAGAGGGGAAACAATGGATGTCTGGGCCACTGTATTACAATTAAAACAGCTGTAATGAATTTACATGGCATAATAACTGTTGAATAAAGATTTTTTTCATTTAAAGTACAGCGCACCGAAGAGCTCTACCGCCAGTGAACCGTGTCGGTGCACTCTATCCGTTCTCGCGTGCTTTTATAATCTGGTAACAGATAAAGTACAAGCACTTGGTACCGATAGTTCATTAAGGCTAACAAAGACATGATATCAATATTCAACATGTCCTGGTGTTAGATAATGTAATCAATTATGAATTTTCGCCGATCAGAGAGGCTGTATCGCCAGGATGGTGCCTATTTCCTTATAAGGAAGTCACTGCGTTCCGAGGACCTTCCAATATCTGTACTTACACCATACTTTAAATCACTTTCCTCCTTCAACTGGCCTAGATTTTGATCATTTCTCAAAAAAGTTGTTTGTGCTTATGTAATTATATTTGCTTGTTTTCCAGAGAGTTGGAAAGAATGTAGGCCGAAATCGATATTCGTAAGTGATAGCTTGATGTTTTCCTGAAATAAATAAAATGGCATTTCGGGGGAATAAGAAAAATGTAATAGTTGAATAATGGTATTGTTTATTTGTTCTGAGAAACATGTTTACCTGTGTATATGAATGAGGATAGTTGTTTTTCATCTGTTTTGTATAAGATCTCTCATATAATAATGAACATGTAAAATAAACCAAACAATGCAAGCGATTTCTGAAATGCTTCATTATGTCAACATGCATAAAGCGTGGAACAATATTTCGTTACGTAGTCCTCCATTAACATGCAAAGTTCAAAAAACAAGTACGAGTCCGCTCATTTCCCAATTAAACTTAATAATTAGACGAAATAAAGCAAAATATCTTGAAGTTTTGACGCAATGAAAAAGTAGGTCACCACTTTGCAGTACTCAGACCTATGTATTTATGCCAAACACTTTCTGTGAACAAATTATGGAAATTGTTCTATAAACCTTGTACTTTGAATTTCATTTACCTTACAAAGTCAGGTCATGATCTCGATGCATGCGTTTTGTTTATCACACCATTAGTGCTATATTAGTCAATTTCTACTGAAAGTGAGAGGCGGCAAGTAACGAATATAACCAACGCAACCAAATCAAACCTCTATAACACTAGCCTACCACAGATACATCATACTGTTAATGAAGCTATCATTTATTATTTTAATTCTAGGTTAAGGGAAAAGATGAAGTCTTTTTGTTTTCTACATTTAAAAAAGGAACGCAGGAATATTGGAAAATGTTTGAGATTCTTTGGTCATTTTTTCAGGAATCCGGAAAAAAACGATGTAATTCATGTTCGAAAGCTCTTCCACTTATTCGTCATGGGAATCGCTAAGTTTTTTTTTTAATTCACATAATTTGTCCTTTTTTTGTAAAACATATCCATTATAAAACCATGCATGCTTGAACTTAATTGAAGAAAGGGTGTTACGAAGTATATGTATCATCATGTCCCGGAAGATATTAGCTGGATTTGAAAAAAAAAATACTTATCTTCTCTAAAATGTTTGTCATTCATTATTTAAAAAATCACTTGGATAGTGTAGAGTATTAAGGAAATGTGTATTTCAAAAATCCAATTTGCATTTTTAAAAAAATTCTCATAGATATATACGAAAACTAGACCGTAGTTATACTAAAGCAGATAATATAACATTTTTTCAATTTTTTTCTCCGGCAAATTAAATGATCAATCAATAAAATACGACCTTGTTAATAAAGCTATGTCAGTTTTAATTGATACGGTCTGATTGGTACAATTTAGCAGATGGCAGAGCAGTGACCCCGAGATCGCTGACCTGACGGCGCAGGCGTTCGCGGCAAAGCGCGTGCGGTTCTAGCGCTTTTGATCAATATTTCGTCGCATATAATTCAGAAGGCGTTCAACTTCCAATTAAACACAGACACAAGATCTGTTGTCTCCTGCATTTGAGATTTGTTTTCATGTCCAAACGTCTTGTTCATTTTGTAGACTAGATTTAGAATGTATTTTAAAAAGCAGAGCACGTAGAGCAGACGTGAAGCTGCAACTAAAACTATGACAGAACTGCACATATCTGGTCTAAGTACGGTAAAAATATTGATCCCTTTGGAAATCTTAATCCTTTGAAAGGCTGCCTTGTTCTGTGGGCAAGTGTAAAACGAGCAACAAATGAGTTTCTAAATCGGGAACTGAGCTATTTTTGGTACGTTGATGTTATTTTAGTCCGTTAAAGTGCGCTATTGAAGAACAATGATAACGGGCCTCTGTTTTTTTTTCCTCAAATATGATCTTTTCTTTATAGCCACAGGTAAAAAAGAATCTGCGGAAATGATTAAAGAAAAATCTGAATTTTAATTACATCCCATGTCTCATGAAGAGAGAGAGAATGTCCTGAAGAAGTTTGGTCCCCAGTTTAAAGGGCATACGAGAGGTTCACCTGTTTGTATTTTTTGCCGCCTGCTCTAAGGTTTACTGACCGTGCTGACAACTTCGTCAACTGCATGGTTTCCTTAACATGTAGTAGTCAGCTTAGGTGAATATACTCTACAAACAAACCAAGCAGTGTCTTAATATAATTATGAAATTTTACTCCGCCTAAAAATATAGCAGGTAAGGGAATGAAACTTTAATATACATGCATGAATAAATAATAGACAAATTAGCCCTGAACACGTATTTACGTCTAAAACGTGTTAACTGTTCTAAACTTAGATTCAGACGCAAAATTTTAAATTGTGTCCTTCGATTAAAACAGTTTAATCTGGTGGTAAACAACAATGCTTCATTGAAAAAACAAAACAGGTGTAATGTGCAAAAATTGAGAGTGACGCGGTTTGAAGGTGGAAATACAAGTAATGTTAGTAGTAGCTGAAGTTTGAATTCATGACCTCCAAAATAGACACTTCGGTCAATGACATCATACAAACTCATGCTTGAAGCATCAGAGGCATTAGTTAGGGGAATCAGACATGCTGGGTAGCGGCATTTAGTACATTCGGCTATTTATAGGGACATCAAGACATATTAAGATGGGGCATCAGGAACGCGTCAAGGCACATTGGCTACAAAGGCATGGACATCAGACACATAAGCTAGGGACATCAGATTATAAGCTAGAGACATCAGACACATAAGCTAGGGACATCAGACACATATGCTAGAGTCGTCAAGACACATGTGTCTTTACTCTTTACGCCTATAGCCAATGTGCATGGACTACAGGGACTTCAGGCAAACTGGTTAGGGGCTTCAATTTAGACACATTGGCTAGGGACATCGGGCACAATGGCTAAAGAAATCAAACACATTGCAATGGGGAATCAGGCACGTTGGCTAAGGAAAGCAGACACATTGCAATGGGGAATCAGGCACATTGGCTAGGGAAAGCAGACACACTGCAATGGGGAATCAGGCACATTGGCTAAGGAAAGCAGACACGTTGCAATGGGGAATCAGGCACATTGGCTAAGGAAAGCAGACACATTGCAATGGGGAATCAGGCACATTGGCTTACATCAGGCACATTGGCTATTGGAGCATTATGCACATTGGCTATATATAGGAGCATTATACAGGAACAATGGCTGTAGGGGCAACAGAAAACGTTATCTTTGTGACATCAGCCATAGTTGATATAGGGGCAACACATTGGCTACGGACAACGACACACTGGCTAAGGACGTCAAACACATTGCAAAGGGAATAAGGCACATTGGCTATAGAGACATCGGGCACAATGGCTACAGGGACATCAGGTACATTGGCTGGGGGAATCAACCACATTATCTAGGGGCATCTCAATTAGGTTAAATGCATTTTAGTCAGCAAAGCTAGAACCGCTTGCTTTAAACGCGGATCAGAAGGTCAAGAAGATGACTACAACTTCTGTTATAAGTTATAAACAAAACACTTGCAGATACGCCCCCTAATTAGAAAAAAACTATAAAAATTGATATATTTTTGTTTGTAAAGAAGTACATATATTTGTAATTTTTTTGCTGCAGTCCTCTGACGTTGCTTGTCTTCCTTTTTGGATCAGCAGAAGTGGGTCACAGCTAGAATGTGAGTGGGTAACGTACAATGTTTACATCCTCTTGTCTTATGACCGTCACGAAGACCATGAGTTTGGAAATCCGGGTCAGTTATGAAACAGTGGTCTAAAAATGAAAATA